AATCATTAGCCATGTGCTATCTTTCCTATAATCAGTCTGAATTAATGAATGAGTTTCAAGCAAGAGGCTGTGAAGGTTCTCCAGAATCTGAAGTGAATGGTGCCATTTGAAACCCAGCAATTGGACATGAGTAGCAATAGCTTGGGGTTTCTGGCTATTAGCCAGGGATCAGCCAGTCCTGAACTAGGTATATCTTTCTGTCCTCCCCAACCTTTGGCTACCTTCTTAAAACTCTTCCTGGCCTTGTCCCCTTCCTCTCTGTTACCCCAGAGAAGAGAGGCTGCCCTAGCATCAATCCCACCAGGCTGTGAATTTTTCACAGGTCTCAGTCATGATCCTGTGTAAACAATTTGAAGTATTTGGACTCTGACAGTCTGATGTGAGCTGCTCCTCGGTGATTAGGAGCAGCAGATTGTTGCTACAGTCTCTGGAAAGGTCCATTTCCCTATGACCTTGATGTCTCATGGTATTAAGGATCCCTATGGATAATGCGTAATCAGAACCTTGTTTAAGCAAAACACAATTGACTTTCCCCCACTGTATGTTAACTACACTGGAAGATCCTTCAATTATCCAATCTATTCATCTGAATTATTCCATGTCCCATTCCCACGGACTCCCTTTCCCCATTCATGTGGGTAATTGAAGTTTCTATCTTAACTGATAGCTCTCTCTTGCTGCAGAGATAGTTACTAAAACTGTGACCTAGAAGAATGCTCTCCCTTAGCAGAGCCGCGAACTGCACTTATAACTGACATTGAATAGGCTAATTCAATCTGTTTTACAAACCTAGTAGGAGAGGCTTCCTGTCCTGAGGACCTTCCAGTCTGAGATAAGACAAGACCCCAGAAGACAATTCAGGAAAAGCGGGGGCGGGGTGTGGTTTCCAAGGAGGGAGGGAAAGCAGGCGAGACTTTCATAGTCTATTAACACAAGTTATTATAACTCCCTTTCTTGTCTGTCTGCTGCCCTCTCTAACCTGCTTGGAGATTCCATACTAGCTAGATATGGTGTGGGACTATTACATACTATAGCATCACTCTTGGTGCACTTGCCCTGAGTGTGTATTTTGTGCTGTGTTTGACACCTCTCCAACTCCAAAGGGAAGGATTCTAGTTGCCCATGCTTATTGAATTCCCATCTGCTCTTGGATGTCTAGGTGGTAGCAGTTGCTAAGCTTGCTGCTTATCACCAGCATTTGGCAAGATAACGACACCCTGGACTTCGTGTGAGTGAGTCAGGCCTTTGTCCCTCTAAGGTTAGGCTTTTGACCATGCTTTGCAGGTCAAACAAGTTGGAAGCTGCAGCTAGAGCAGATTGCAGGTGCACATTACGCCTGAGCTCTGGGGTCTGCACGTGCTGCCAGATCTCAAACCTCACCTGGGAATAGTGTTGGCTTTAGTCCATAGAGTTGGGCAACTAGTGACCTGAGGGATGCCTCTCTCCCCATCTGGTAGTATGGAACGTGCAGTCATTCAAGGTATATGAACCAACAGCCTCCTGGAGAGGGCTGGTGCCAATGTCTGGCTTTGACGAACTTTGGAATGCTGTAAGACTGGTCTGTTCTCCCAGGTTTATTCTCCATGATGAGGAGATGGAGTTTAACGGAAGGGAGCCATCTTGGGGCTTGGGAGCATGCTAGGGCTCTTTTTAAGGGTAGGTCTACACTGGAAACTTCAAAGTGCCGCCACGGGAACACTCCCGCAGCAGTGCTTTGAAGTGCGAGTGTGGTCGCCCACGAGCGCTGGGAGAGAGCTTTCCCAGCACTCCTGGTAATCCACCTCCATGAGGGGATTAGCTCCGAGCACTGGGAGCCGCGCCTGTCTATACCAGCGCTTTAAACCGCTCAGACTTGCTGCGCTCAGGGGGGTGATTTTTCACCCCCCTGAGCCAGCAAGTTAGAACGCTATAAAATGTAAGTGTAGACAAGCCCTAAGGCTTGGTTTATTTTGTTAAAGGGGACCTCCAAAATGTGCTGGTAAGAGACTAGGTTTGTGCCTTTGTTGGTTTATGATGGATGAAGGGGGCCTGAGAGCCTCCTCACCATTCCCTCCAAAAAACTATTTGCACTTTCCCTTAGAAACAGCAACAATGTCAAGTGTGGTCTTCCCTGTCTTTGCTGGAAGCCTCCATGAGGGGCTGAGTGAGGTGAAATAGGAGCTTTTTCCAGCTCTCAGCTGAAAACGCGGGAGGGAGGTGTTTGACTCTTCACCACTGAAAGCTTTCTTTTCTAACTGTTTGGGTTGATAAAAACAAGCCCCAAAACAATCTTTAAATGTTCCACAGCTGCTTCTCTGTCTGGTTTCTTTTGCATGGTACTGTTAGTTCTCCAGTTGGTCATAGTCTTTTAGGAGAAGTAGGAAAGATGAGACCTGAATTTATAATGTAAAAATATGTAACCTGTCCAGGTTAAATATTTACATAAATTCTGCACTTGGTAAAGAGCCCCCAAAGGGTACGAAAAGGATGCTCTTTCTGTGTAGGTCGCTGTAATGAGCCTAGAGTTTGCTCAGGGAAGGTGGTCAAGCCTTGCATCTCCTGAAGGGCAGAAAAATTAGTCTGACAAGGCTTCCAACTTCATTAACTCAGGATCAACTCTGCTGGCATGGAGACCTTCCCTTCCTACACTCCCCCTCAACTTTGTGGGAGGTGCTTCTTCTGCAGGGGTAAGAAAAATTTCAACTATGGGAACATCCTGTCTCCTCCTGGCTTCACTGTTGCAGCTCTGCCAGCAGGAATCCTCACAACAGCATTGTGACAACTACACCACAACTTTATTAATTAATCATTAGTTCACCCTGAAGTCTCATTTGGAAGATTAAGAATTGGGTTGCAGATTGAAGGCCGTATCCTCTGTGGCTCACTGCCAGAGCTTCTGACATCAATGGGGCCCAAAGTCTCAATGATAAGAAAAAAGAAAAGTACTGTGTCTCTTCTCTACTGCACCTGCCAGAGAATCCTGGGCCTCTCCTGGACAGGGTAATAGCCAACTGGCTGGGCCCAGGCCTACTGGGACAGTGAAAACTTCCCCACATAGCCCTGCCAAAGCATCTCAGTCATGCCCTGCAATAGCTCCTGCTCTTCTAGAAGGAGGGAATGGTGTCTAACCATTAGAACAGGGTGGGGGCGATGACTTGGAATCAGAACTCCAGAGTTCTCTTTACGGCTGTGCTGCAAATTTCTTGCGTGGCTGTGGGCAAATTACTTCGCCTGTCTGTGAAATGGAGATGATACTTTGCTATCTCATAGTGGCATGTGAGGAGTAAATTTTGCAAAGTGTTGCCATGAGGTGCTCATGTGAAATGCACAAGAGAAGGGAAATACAATAGCACATATTTCCCCCTAATTTGGGGCCCAGTATGAATGCATTTTGTGTGAATCTAGTGTGAGAAGTTGGAGGCTAAAGGAGCCTGAAAGGGGATTTTGAATCTTGGGAACCATAGAATACAGCTGGGGTCAGAGCCCTGCACTTGTCTCCAATCAAAAGGCTAGGCAGCAGTCTGACTGCTTAGAGAGAAGAGATGTGCCATTCTTCGTCACACTGTCCATCCAGCCATACTGGTATGTAACTGCAGTGTTTGCACATGGCAGCTCACTCTCTCCTCTGTCTTGCTTAGTCCCAGAGATACAATCTAAGTGAATCTGTGTGACCTAGGAGCCTGGGGGGAGGGGGAGGTACTGCTGAAAGAGATCTCAGCCTGGGGGATGTGGGTGTCACCTAAACTGGATGGAAAAGACCAGGGCTGGCTCTATCATTTTTGCCATCCCAAGCCAAAAAAAAAAAGCCGCCTGGACTGTGCCGCCCCAAGAATGGACAGAATGCCGCCCCTTAGCATGTGCCGCCCCCGCTGGTGCCTGGAGCTGGCCCTGGAAAAGATCTTTTAAGGAACCAATGTCTGCTTCATCCCAAGAATGTTATGATTCCTCCTTCCATGTACTTCCCGCCCTACTGCTGCTTAGTATTGGAATGTCCCTGTATAGATACTCCTGACTTTCTCATGTGTGTCACTGGGGCTCACGTTGCTAATTTGGGATGCTCACCGTGCAGAGACGTGGTTAAACAAATGTTGTTCAGTGCTGTTTCTGTCCATTCCTTATACTTATGCTGTATGAAGGGAAAAGCCAGGGAGTCCTGCACTAGGGAGAACTTACAACAGGCAACAACTGTCTTAATCACACTCTGGTATCCCCAAAGTTTCTGGTCCAGTTTGACATAGTACATTTAGCATTTACTATACAGAGATCAAAGCACTTCACTGGGGTGGAAGAAGTTTCTTTATCCCCATGTTACAGATGGGGAAACTAATGCACTGATAGGGGAAGGGATTCTCTCAAGGCCACATAGTCAGTGGCAGAGTAAGAAATGGAACCCAGGAGTCCTGGTTTCACCCCAGTGCTCTCTCCACAGGACCATGCTGCTTCATTACAGCCTCAAACTTTAGACTAGCAGTGTTGGGAGACCAAATGTTGCTGATCAGTTGAGTGTGGTTAAGACAGATTTAACAGCGATACAAGGATCCTGAAGGGATAAACCCTCATCCAGATGCAATACTTGGGGGTGTGAGCAGCGCTATTTGCAGCTTTGAGCCTATTTACTGTAGTGGCCTAATGCCCAGATTTGGAGAGTCTGCTCAAGTGAGATTGTCCCCTTGTGGGACTCAGAGGGGACTGAGCTGGTGAAGGTGCAGGGTCCTTTATGCATGTGTCCCTAGACTCCTCCTGCAGGATGACTTCACATTGAGGAGTTTCCACCTCACCCACTTAGGGGGGGATCAGATGTCCCGATTTTATAGGAACAGTCCCGATATATGGAGCTTTTTCTTATATAGGCACCTATTACCCCTCAACCCCGCCCTGATTTTTCACACTTTCTATCTGGTCACCCTACACCCACTGCACCTCTGGGGCTGTTCCTGGGACCTAGCCTCGATCTCTCTGCCACTCTCCTTCTGTTTTGTAACCTGATAATTAATTATTAGCAGTTTTTTGTCTTTTTCCAGGTGATGGTGAGATGGGATGACCCCAAACTTAGCTGGAATCAGAAGTCTCTGTGATACTGGTGCTATCCCAGCTCTCTGCCCGCAGAAGCCATGAACCTGTAACTGGGGAAGCTTCCCCTCAACCAACGTGTTACCACCAGATCTGCAGTACAGAAGCCAGCTGCCCTGTCACCTCAGCATCCTCCAAAGGTTGGTTTTCTTGCTCTTCTTGTAGAGAAGTTAAAACTACTCAGTCTCCTGCTGCCCCAGTCTCTTCTTGGCCAGACCAGTGAGTTTAGGGTAGAAGGTAAGATGGGGAAGGACGTTGGGATTGCTGGCTCCCTCTCTGTTCAATGGCGCACTCTACTCAGTCCCTTACTGCCAGGCACCACTTCTCATCTCTGGGTAGGGGATGTGCTAAGTCCACAGGACAGCCCCTGAGATTCCCATTAGCCTCCCACAGCACATGCCTTGTAAAAGGAGAAGGAAGAACATTCCTCCTTTTTTGTCCAGCTAAACCTTGGTGAGCAAAGGATCTTCCTTTGTGTCTGTTACAAAGAGATGTCCCTTTAATGCACATTTGGAGATTCCCCTCTTCAAATCCTCTTGTTTCCAGAGAACCTTTGATCTCTAAATTCCAAGCTCAGCTGGACACCGTGGCAAAGGCCTGGGCTGCTTCACTTGAGAATTAAAGGATTGGAAGGGAAAAGTCCATTTTAGGGTGGAGGACCAGAAGGGACCCTGCAACAATTTATTTTAGCAGACTGGGGACCTACTCCTTGTGGCTCTTTGCCCTGTTTGGCATTAATCTCTCTCCCTCCGTGCACCAAGCATTTTGGGGGGCTGCCATTCTTCTCTGCTGCCTCCGCCGCCCCTCATTAGTGCATAGCCTGGCTTGTCTAAACCTTGATCGGATTTGTCAAGGCTCCTTCCCTTTTCTTCCTGTTCATTGAAGATTGAAACAAAGGAAATGGGAGAAGAAAGGGCCTACGAATAGGAGTGAGGGAAGTGAGTGACAGGCTGCCCCCTGCACCCTTCCCCCTTCCAGCTCTCATGGGGCAAAGCTAAAGCCAGTACACTTCACTTCAGAAGGCAGTGCCTTCCCCCTGCCTCTAGCCTGAGTCAGGGCTTCTGCATTCTGTTCCCAGCTCTGCCACTAGCTGGCTTCATGGTTCACCTGCTCCCTTGGTCATGTTCCTATGGAACTGCTGCCTGCACTGGGTGTGTGCTGCAACCGAGGCTATTCCCTCCACTACTGACCTCATAACCCAGACAGCTCTAGTCTAAATGGCCAGGCTGCAGCATTGCCTATTAAAATACCCACACCAGTGGGAAGAGGCTCCTTCTCCCCCAGCAGGGACACTGTGGCGTGGGGACCCAAATTAATCTCCAATGTAAGTGGGCTGTTTGTTTTTACTGCTTTATTTTTAACATGCCCTGTGCTGAGATGTTTCCCTCATTACCTGCACTAGCAAAGTGCTGCTCCAGCCAGCCAGCCCCTAATGAACCCAATGCAGAGCTCCGACAGCTCCTGGCATCTGTACAGGACATTAAGCAGCAGGATTTTCCGGCTCCTCCCGACCCTGAGCCAGATAAGGACTCTGAACAAGGGCCTTTTGTGCAGCCAGGTTTGTGAGGAGGATGCTAACCTGGTTTGGGGGAAACAGCATCCATGGTTTGGCAGCTGAGAGTCAAGTTCAGACTTTCCGTTGAGGCAGGAGACTTCAGTGTGAAGGGAGCCCGACGCAACGTGCTCGTCTCAGCACTTTTCTGGTTGATGTTAATCCCACCCCTGGCATTCTCAACAAGCCCTTCAAACTTTCCTCCCCCACCTTGTCTCTTGATCTCTTCTGCCCTCTGCTCACATCCTCAGTATTAATTTGGCAGGAGAAATTAAAAAACATGAAGTCCCAGCATAGTGATACAGCCACTACAGTGTGAAATGCATCCTCACCTGTCCAATCCTAATTGTCAGTCTCTGGGAAGCTTTTTCTTGGGGCTCAGCCTATATTTTCCTTTCATCCTCTTCTTTCTCATTCTCCCCCATATGTAACCCCCAAATAATCAGCACTCTCAGGGCTTTAATTAGAGAGCTCTGTAAAGTGCTTAGGCTATGAAATGTGTGGATTTGGTGTTACTAATCCCTCTCCTTGCTTGGTATTCATTCATGCCCTTCAGGTATTTGCATTCTCATGTCCCTCTCCTCAGGGAGGTCGCTTAGCCAAACTCCAAAGCTTCACATATTTCCCCATGTCTCCGTCCATTCCATGCACAGAGTCAGTGGGAGAGGGAACTCCGAGTTCCCACCCCTACCATACACACTGCCCAGAGGGGTGAGCTAGGTAAGGCATGCAGGTGTGGGGAGTTTGATCTTTTAATTCCCTGGGTGGGCTTGCATGGCAAGTTCGTTTTCTATGACTACTCCTAACTGATGATCTTCTTAGTAAAGAGGAACCCAGATGGATTTTGCTATTTCAGGTGCATTATACAGAGGGACTGTCCTTGCCCTGCTCCATGGTGCAATGCCTCTGTTGCTGCAGCCCAGACAGGTCAAGTTCCACTGTGGGGTTATTGACCAGCCAAACCTTTGTGTCAAAGTGATTGTATTGAAGGTTTATGCCTTTCCAGTGAAACAAAATCATGTTCCGTCAAAGCGAGCACGTTTCCCCTTCTGTATTTTACAGGATAATTGCTGGGCTGGTGGGCTCAGCACAGGTATAAATCAGCTATGCAGTTCAGCAGGGTTGCAAAGTGCTTGAGCTAGAAAGTGCCTGTCATGGCCAGTAAGTCCATCACACGCTTGCAATTAATTGATGACCTTCATATAATGCTCATCTCCCCCCATGTTATTTCTCTCTTTTGCAGAGACCCCATCCCCTGGTATTCCAGTGCAGTGCATGTGCCAGAGTATGCAGACTATCTTGTGTTCCAGCTTCAGGTACTGCACTCTTTTGACACTACTCCCCTGCCCTGCGCACCCTGGTTAGATTGGAGGCAGGTGTTAGCTGCAGGGGGAGAGGTGTCTGAGTTAAGTGCTGCCCTCCCCAGGCTAGCAGTAAATTCAAGCTACCCAAACCTTGGGTTTCATATGGAAAATAAAATCCCTTCTCCTCACAAATGTCAGTAGTAGGAAGGGGAAGGCAGATCTCTTCTCTCGCTGGTGCCTCCTGCCAGACAGATACAGTGCAGAGTGGGAGGCTTAAGCCAGCCCTGGTGTTACCAGTCTCTGCTGTCTCCTTTGGGCAGCGAGGGCTTCTGTGTAGTAAGAAGGGGAGACATGGTTCTTTCTCCTCCCAAACCGGCTCTTTAAAGAGTTATCCTGGTGAAAGCTAGTGGGACAGGGGAATTAATCTATCAATCAGGTTGGAAGCCAGAATCTCTTGAGCATGGGCTTGAATTCCCCATGATGCTGTTGGGTTCCCACTGCATGGCAGGCTTCCAGATAGGGGCCTAGTTGGCAGAACACTGGCCTGAGAGACTGGAGACCTGGGGTTCTATTCCTAGCTCTGCCACCGACCTGCTGGATGACATTGGGCAAGTCACCACCCCTCTGTGCCTCTCTTCCCACTCTTCAGCTGTCTTGTCTATTTAGATTGTAAACTCTCCAAGGAAGGGCCTATGTGCCACTATGAGCTGGTCTGTACTCCAAAGTTACATCAGCATAGCTGCATCTCAAAAGAGTGACAAATCTGCACTCCTGAGCGACATAGTTAAACTGATCTAATCCCTGGTGTAGACAGCGTTAAAATGATGGAATAATTCTTTGTCCTAGCTGTAATGCTGCCTGCAGTGACCTAAGAGCATGAGTACCAATGCGGAGCAGCCTGTTAAGAACCAGGGCAGAAACCTCAAATTGGTTGTGAGTTCAATACTTAGATTTCACCAACCAATTATCAAGTTTAAACTCCTCAGGCACTAAAACAGCCTGAACATGGAGTCAGACAGTCCCCTTGGGCTCTCCACTCTGTCTCGCCACCCATGTGATGAAACCTGTATGACAGATGGTCCCTTACACAAAGAATCATACCAATATTCAGGTTACTCCCAGTCCCAAAGGACCAGTCACTTACCCCAAGTCAATTGCATGTAGATTGTACACCAAAGGCAATGTTTGTAGCCAATCCTATAATAAACTATATAAAGATTTGTTAAGTAGGAAAAAGAAACAAGAATTTTTTTACAAGGTTCAAGCAGGGAAATGTACACAAATGAGTTACAATCTTAAATTTTTAAAAGTAATAAAAGAGCTTGCTTATTACAGAAGCTTCATGTCCTTTAGGGCTAACCCAGGCTAAGCACTGGGGTTCTGTTGTTTGTGCCTAGATATCTTTGTCTAAGCAGCAGAGAGATCCAGTTCCTTCTTGTAAAGGTTTTTTTATCCCCTTTCTTCCTTTTGCTCTGAGTCGCACACTAAGCTAATGGGAGGAATTCTCTTGTATGACTCTCTTCCCAGGGAGGGCAGAACAACCAATGTCTTTTGTCCTCTCTAACATCCCACAATAGTCCACCTGGCATCACTGGACCTTTCCTGTTGGGCAGAACATAAAACCTTCTGCAGGAGGTCAGTACGTCACACTAGTTAATGTCTCTTCTGTCTGGTCATTTACACAGTCACCGAGGCTCACAATACAACCACTCACATATTACTTTGCAATGTGAAATATGGATGTTATAACTGAGATTAATTCATGCAGCAACTCACAAGCATGCAATGAAATCTAAACACATTCTTAGAATTCTAATGTTTATTTTAACAATACTAACACACAGATGAGCCAGACTGATTCCAGGTGTATTTGTCAGTATTCCATTGAGAAATGGAGAGTTTGGCGTGAGCTGGCACCTGGTTTGGAAAACCCCACCGTTGCTGTAGTAGGTGTCTCCACTGAAGCACTACAGCAGCTGTACCGCTGTAATGTTTGAAGCGTGGACATAGCCTGTGTGTCTGTACAGTGCTTAGCACAGTGGGGCCCTATCTCAATGGGAGCCTCTGGGTTACCATTATACTACTACGATATTGGCCTGGCCCCTATTGATAGTGTGTTTCCTGTCCCCCACTTCCCTGGCCAGCAGTGCTCCCTGGGGGGTCAGTTTTGCTGTGGCACTGCGTCCCAAAACCCAGTGTAGTTCTGTTCAGGGCCCAGATGCTGCAGGGGAAAGGGTTGCATAGAGTCTTTCTTGGAGAAAGATTTCTAAAAATATGCTAAGCTCCGTATTTACACTGAGTTTGGAGGTGAGGGGAGCAGCAGAGTGAGGGGCAGGGCTGCTAAAGTCAATATTATCTCATGAGTCAAGTTATTGAAAGTGAATAGTGGGGAGGAGGAGAGCTAGCAAAGATGCTGCTGTGGGCTGCTGACCTCTGATATCCATAAAACACCATCATCCTGGTGACTGATCATCTCGCAAGAGTGCTTATTGCACAGAATCCTCCTGTCCTCCCCTGTTCATCCACTCTCTGGATTGATTTTATGGCTTGGATGAGTTTAATGTTCTGATAATGATGCTTTGTCTTCATCTCTCTCCCAGGGAAGGACTCTGCCTTCCCCAGGCTGGCAATAAATTCAAACTGTCCAGAGTGTAAGTGGGGGCCCTGCTGGGGCAGCTTTCCCCCGCATCGCACTTGGCTGCGTGCTGTCCGGGGGCAGGACTTTTCAGGTGCGGAGTTAGTAGCATAACGTCTTCCCTTCTGGTGTGTGTCTCGGATTGCTGCTGGACCTGCTCCCTCTGTATCCAACTTTGCTTGCTGGTTTCCCTCCACTTTTCCCACTCAAAGTTCCCTGGGACAAGAGCTCCCCTCTTCTCTCCCCCCATCCCCAGATCGGTCAGGGTGGTGTGGGCTGAGCTGTTTTGCAGTGTGTGACCCAACCCATAGAATGAGTAAAAGCAAGAAGCCTAGTTCACAGGGCTCTTTGGGTGGAAGGTGCTAGTGTCATGTAGGCTGTTCATTTTCACCCCTTTCCTTGGGGTGGGACTGTGCCCACTCAGTTAGCTGTCCTGGGCTCACTATATAGTGTGTGGCTGCTCTGTTTCTTATTTGACCAAGTCAGGGGGCACTGACTGCTCCCGTGCCAGGAATAACCCTGAGCACAGCAGACATTGGACGGGCAGTTCACATTCCTTGCACATTGTGTGGGCCAGTTCCTTATGGCAGGAGGCAGTGTATGTGTGTGCATGTGAGCATCAGCTGTGGCTATTTCCTTTTCCCAGGTGTCTGGCCATATAGGGAGAATGCATTGTAGGTGCCCTGTTGTATTAATTGAGATGGCATGTATGGTTCAAAGGGTCAAAGGTGTTAATGAGATCTTATCACTGATAACTTTAAACAAGGTTTGTGATCTGGTATACCGAGATCTTAGTCCACTTAGCACCAGGGCAAACACACCATTAAACATAATTTTAGCCTTTTATTAAAGATACAGAAAAGGAGGAAAAACTGTTAAAGCATTTGAAATGTAAAGTATTAAATAAGGATTTCATTTTAACATCCCTTGTTCCCTTTAGCTGGAGAGAGCTTTTAGAAGGGGAAAAAACCTTTTTTTCACAGTCTTTTAGGTGGTGGTAACTGTCCTTTTGGGAAAAAGAGTAGAAGGTAGTTGAGATGGGCTGGAGCTGTCATTGGCTTAACTGTAGTTAAAGTCCCATCCCCTTTCCTAGAAGACAAAACAAGACACACACACACATAAAAGGGGAGAGAAAAGAACAGCAAAGACAGAAAATGCAGTGTCTATCTCTAATATTGACTTTCACTTGCAATCTCACTGCTGGGGAAATGCAGGAATGACATACGGTCTTATCAGCCACTCTGAGACCTGGCAAACTTGTACCAGCACTGGGCTTTTCAGGGCATTGCTTTTTGCTGCCTCTTTCAGGTCACAGGCCTACAGCAGTGTTGCAAAATATGCAGTCTTGGCTGGCTAGGCTAAACTCTCACTAGAGAGAAGGGGAGAGATAGGAAAGAGAAGAAATAAGATAGGGAAGGAAAAGGACACATGGGGAGAAGGGAGGTGGTAAGGGGAGACAGTCTCACATCCCATGTAGTGGTTGGGATTCAGCCAGAGCTGGTGGAGGTGGAAATGTTGTCTAGGGTTGCCAGTTTTGATTGGATCTTTCATCACATGGCATAATCTTTAATTCCTGAAGACTCCAGGACAGTCCTGGAGGGTTGACAACCCTAATGCCATCTGGCTCCCTTTTTGGCTCTGTCTGGTCAAGACACCCCTCAGGATTCGGATGATGAAGGCCCAGGTACCCAGGAGACAGTGGGGGTGGCAGTGGCAGCCATGATGGTGAAGCTCGTTCCAGTAGCCAATTCTTCTCCTCAAAGTTTCTTTCTTCAAGGACTCCAGAAGGGATATGATGGACAGAATAGCCCATCCCCTCATTATTTTGCTCACCAGTTAGGCCTAGTTTCCAACACACTGATTTTTGGTTCACTAGCTTCCAGTTCCACACTTTTTTTTTGTTTACCAAGCATGATCTTAACACAGTCCTTGAGTTATATCAACAGGCCCTTTTGTTTGGACCAATTCAGTCTTTGCCTCACTTTTGCACCTTTCCTTGTCAACTTTGTTGTTTGAGATTGTGGCAGTTTATAAACTTTCACTCCTTACAGTTGAGCAGGTCTAGATGCAGGTCTGGATCAGAGGTATCCACAGTTGCCTGCTTGCAAGAGTTGTAATCCACTGAATGGGATGGATTCCTGGCTTCAGCGTAGGCTTTCAAAGCCTTGGATGGGCCGGAAGCAGCAGTTTAGATCTCAGATGATTCAGATCAGTCTTGTATCCTTGTCACTGTGGCTAACCTGGCTTCATGCGCTTTGCTGTATGTGTGATGTTCAGATGGGGCCTTGAAACCAGAGACCCTGTGGACTGTGCAGAAGCATGAAACATCCCAGGACATTTCTGTAAAAGTTGGATTTGTTTGCCCCGGTGTCCTTGG